GGTCTTGTGTTGTTAGCAGCAGCCATGGACTGAGACAGATGCTTAGGTGCAGGAACTATGCAGCACAATCATTACTGTTCTTCGTAAAAAAAAAAAAAAAAAAAAAAAAAAAGAAAGTCTTCTGCTACAGTTTTCCCAGGACATCATCATTCACTCATGCACCCATCCATTCATTCATTCACTCATTTATGGATACAGTCATTTAATCACGTACTCACTTATTCAATCATCCTCTGCCATTCATTTGATTATTTACTTGCTACTTCATTCATTTTTCTCGTTTATTGATTCTCTTATTCGTGCAACCATCCATCACTCACTCATCTGCTAAGGGATACACTCACTTACTCCTTCCCACATTTATAAAGCATTTACCCAGCAAAGTCCTTTCAGGCAGGCAAAGGGGTCTGAGTCCTCGCCATCTCCCTGGAACTGGACTGTATGCACCTCTGAATTTAGGCAGCAGTCCGTCCCTTTCCCCAGTCCTTCTGTGACTCTCAGAAGTGGCAGAGTGGAAACATTGCTCTCAGTGCTTCCTTGCTGAATGGTAAACAGATTCAGTACACTTCATAGACAAAGCTAATGCAAAGCCAACAGACCAAATAACAGAATTCATTCAGGCAGAGGGCTGCTAACTGAAATTCCAGTGGTAAGCTAACCTTTCCTGTGGGGTCTGCAATTCTTAGAAATTATGAGAGACCAACCATCTCATGGTTCATAGCTTCCATCGGAAAATATTTACTGAGTACCAACTGTGTGCCAAGAACCAAGCCAGGCACTGTGAACAATGACTCAGACACATTTCTGGCCCCCAAGAAGCCTATACTATGGTGATGGGGGGAGGGCTAAGGCCTCCATTGACTGTCTGATTCCAAGCATGACTTGTGAGTCAGGAGAGCGTACACCTTTAAAATGTTAGGAATTCAGATGGGAGAAGTCACTTCTCTCTGAGGCTTGGAGAAGGCTTCTTGAATATAGAAACAGGTGAGTGAGTTCTTGGAATTTGGGTAGAATTTGAATTAGTAAATGAGATAGGGACTGGGGGAAAGAGTCTTCCAGAGCTTAAATGATGGACAGAGATGTTGAGATGAGAAAAGCCCATGGCACACGTATGTCCATTGCTTGGTACTCCCCTTTCAGAGATGAAGAGAAGGGTATTTCTAAGGCAAAGGGATTTGGCAATGGTCTCTGAGCCCAGGCTGATGTGATTTGTGTCCACTGTCTCTTCATGACTCTCTGCCCATTGCTGCCTCCCAGGGCTGCCTAGGTAACACCCCACCTCACCCATCCACTTCAAGGCCAGGCTCATTGGGAATTCTATGCCTCTCCAGTCCTCCAAAGGGCTCTCCGATTTAGGACCCACAAGACCAGTCTCTTATTTGACTCTGTCTTGTCATGTGACCTGATAAAAATCATCTGATAGCCATGGATTTTTTTCAGTGACTCAGTGGGCACCATGGAAGTCTAAAGCTCAGACTCTCAAAGTTCTGAATGTTGTACTTGATCGCGGAGGAATTGGAGCCCAGTCCCCTGAGCACCATGGGGCTATCTGCGAACAGGGAAGTCTCTGCTGGATGGGGCTGATCTAGTGTTTTCATGGAGTCTCCTGATTCCCACAGAGGTTCAGCTGCACCTCCAGGCTTCTTTGCTTAGCCCTCTCTCTCTAGTCAGCCTTTCTCACACATTCAAACCTAAAAGTGGAGTCTTTGAGGGGGTCGGGGGGAAGCGTTCTTGAAACTTGGCAAAAGAAACTACCTAGGACTAGGTACAGGGCCTGAAACTCCCAGACAAGGTTTTTCTCATTTTCAATTAAAGACACACCAAGATCCCAAATAGATGACAGAAAGTGATTGCTATGCTTTTGTTCAGTGGCAAAGCTCTTAAATTACTTTAGGTTTCTGCTGCCTTTGGGGAGTGCTTTCCAAGCACAAGGTTGGGCTAGGTGCAACCCAGGAATTCTTTTCCTAACACTAATCACACTGAATTGCCGTCCTGTTTTAAAGTTGTGCCTGTATTTCCAAGTTGTTTTTTAAGCACTTGGAGCTGTAGCAGAGTCAGCTGTGGTGCTTTCACGATCAGCCACAGTGCAGAGGTTAGTGGGCCGTAGCAGAGGCTCAGCATCCCGGTGCCTGGCTTCTGGTCCAGCTTACCTGTCCAGGGTTTGAAAGGGCTTGAAAGGCTGCTTGCAGGAGAGCCTTATTCTGGGTATTCTGATGGCCTGAACAGCACAGCCATACACTGAACAGGACCTAAAAGTTGCTGACTGCTGACCACTGACCACGTAGCGAGGTCTGTGCAAAGCCCTTGCCTTCCATCGTTCCCAAAATGCACGCGACACAACAGCTATTTTAAGCTGGTAACCACTACTGTCCCTGATTCACAGTGGAAGAAAACAAGGCTTAGTCATACAGCTAGTGAGTGGTAGAGCCTGGATTTGAACCCAGCAGGGAGACAGATTCTTCTGTTGAAAATCCCCACCACCCTCTTCTGACTGCATCTAATTAGACCTGAGTCTGACATCTCAGAGATCAGAGCAATGGCTCCAGGGACAGCACCAACAATAAAACCTTTAGAATCTGAGCACCAAATGGAACCTGAAAAAATATTCACAGACTGCCTCCCATTCACAGAGATCAAAACACGGAAAGGAGGAAGTGGCCAGGGCTGGATAGGATTCCTGACCATCAGTCTCCCGGTGGAGCCCTGTCCATATCCTTAAGCCTCCTCCCTTAGAAGCGTCTTTTACTGATTTTCATCTGATGGGCAAGACAGACAGCGAGGCTGGACTCTGTTCTAGGGCAAATACTTGGAGGAAAGGTGTACAGTTGCACTTGTGGGCAGCTCAAGCTGATGTCGACTGCTCTGAATAGAAGGGCTGACTTGGGGATCCACCCGGTGAGCCTGGACTTCCCAGGAGCCACAGACACTCTTATAAAGATCAAATGAGAATGTTCAGATAAAACACTGTGCCAGGCACTCCATCGCGGCACACACAGCCAGTTGACACACTCTCCTCTTTCTTAAGTTCCTAGGAGAAAGAAGAAAGTTCTGTTGCCTCTGGGATCCTGCAGGAGCTGACCCCAGGTGACCTGGATTTGGGACTGAGACTGGAATAGTAGAGGGTAACATCTGAGCCCCACAGCTCTATGCATCTCCATGGCCATCACTCATCTATCCTTTTGTTCTTACTACAGTTTCTTGTAGTGGCTTCGGAAAGCACAGTATATGAGACGAGGTACTCTCTCCCTCCACTTCCTCCAGGTTCTCATGGAAAGTAGCAATCTCATCCATTTGATGTATATGAAAATCCAGGCTTATAGGAGTGAGTTTTGCCCAAGGTCCAAGACTGAAGTGACAGGGCTGAGATTCCCACCTACACTACACTGGATTCTAGAGCCACAGATCTCTCTGTGATGTCTGCCTGCCTCTCAACGAGATACAGACATTGTAGATGTTTTTAAAAGAAACCTAAGTTAACTGTGCCATACAGTCCCCTCCACGACCTGTAGGACCTCATGCTCTCTTCCATCATCCCCTTCATGATGGGAGAGGAGACTTGGATTTGCTGTTGAATACTATCCCAGTGAAGCAACACCTTGGGATCCAGGAGAGGCAGAGCTCAGAGCACCAAGACCCTGGGCCAAGGTCTGCAGACCTGCCTTTCTCTGGGCTGCTGAATGGCATCAGTGCCTTCCCTGCAGGGCAAAGAACTTAACAAATAAGCAGAAGCCACTTCGATTCTGGTCTGTCATGCCGCCTGGGCTCATCGCCTGGGACCTGCACTTGCAGATGTCTTTCCATGATATTCACTCAGCTTGTCTCTCAGGACTAGACCAGAAGCCTGAGCCTTTCTTCCTGGGTAGCTCTATGGATAATCCTAACCAAGATGGGATGCAACGGGTCCTATGAGGACACTCAATGTATGCTGGGGCCCACTATCACCCTAATACAGCTCTGGTCACTAGCTAGCATAAGGTGGATATTGTGCCTCCACCTGTAGTCAGAATATGTTAAACATCAGCACTTGAACAGCTGAGTGTGAAACTATTTAGAATCCTTCTGCTATCTGCAATGGCATTTGAGCATTAAGCAAACCAAGCTCATCATTATCTTTTTCTTGATTGTTTCCAGTCTTTTTTTTTACCCCTCTAAGCAACTTTCTGTCTGTTGAAAAAGAAGCCTGCATTGTGAGTCTTGGCCCAACAAGGTCACCCAACTCCACGTGGACATCTGACAAACTGTCCCACTGGTGACGGGCATGCCTCAGCAGGAGAAAGGCAGCGGTAGAGCAGGTTCCTGACAGGGGGATCCCAGGATATGTGAGCTTTGCCTTCCCATCTCCCAAGCTACCTCTTCACAGCTCTCTCCATTCCCCTGAAGTCCTCAGACCTTAGCAGCTCACACACCTTAACCATGTTGTGTTCTTTCATGCAGACTCCCTGTGTCCCAGGACCTGCGCCTGTGGGCCTGCGCCTGGGGCTTTCACCACCTGGACGTCACTGATTCCTTTTGGCTTGCAGAGGTTTTAAGGGTGGACAGGAAAATCACTGTCTCCCTCATGGTTAGACTCCCAGATCAGCACCTGGCAAAGCATGGCCATTCCCAAGGAGGCATGCATGAGTGTAAGCACCCTTGCTGGATGCTCGAGGTTGCACCAACGTCAGCCCTCATGGGAGCGGGAAGAGCCTCCCAACATTTCCACCCAGTCCAGAGAACGCAGCTTTCTCCACCTGTGAATCTGCCTAGTCTTGCTCCCATATATTCCCCAGAAGAGAAGGGTCCAGCTGCCCCTGATGGGGCCCAGCGCCCACCCTGACTGCTGCCCCTAGGTGTTCACACCAACCCTCCCACGAGGTTCTTACTCCTTGGATGCAAGAGGCTGTCCAGAACCTTCATGGTTAGGGGATTTGGAACTAAGAGACAGACATTGCATCCCAACACAACACCCAGTACTCCCAAACCTATCCAGGGGAACAAACAGGGGAGGACAGAGTGCTTACCTTTAGAGGGTCGCCTTTGTTTGGTCTGCAGGGATGAGAAGGTGCCCATGACAGCCCCCATGGTAGCGAAGACTTGTGTGAGACTTGGGACCCCAGGCCCTGCCTCTCCCCTCCCCTGAAAAGAAATCGACGTGGATTGCCCACTCTGAATTGGAGGAGAGGAAAAGCAAGAAAGCAAAAAGCCCCGGGCAGCTCGCCTGCAGCTTGGTATTCAGAGAGCCAGGGTGCCGGGAGCCTCTGGCTGCTGCTGTCTTCAGCCCGGCACATGCACTGACTCCCAGGGCCAGCAGCTCGCTGGAGCCTTCGCAGGCGCCCCCCAGTGCGGGCACCCAGCCGAGCTTCTGGCCTCGCCGAGGGCCGAGCCCCGAGTCCCGAGCCCCGAAGCCTGGCTGGTGCTGGACACGGGGCCGGCGCGCCCGCCCGGCCGAGGCTGCCGAGCCCGCGCCGCGTGCGGTGCGGGAGCCGCGCTCCGCCCGCCCCTGCTGCCGCCCGGCCGCTCCGCCCCGCGCTCGGGCTGGGTCTCAGGGGGCCGAGTACCAATCATGAATGAACAGCGCCGGGGACTGGCGCGGAGCAGAGCCCGGCTGCGCACCGGGCGAGTGGGGAGGCAGAGGCAGCCTCGGGGACCAAGGAGGGGCGGGGTGGGGACCCGGCCCTGCTGCCTGCACCGCACTGCTTCTGCCTGTGCGGGACACCGGGAATGCCCTCCTGGGTAGACAGACCCAGTCAGGGACCCGGCTAGTGGGTGCAGCTTGGGAAGGGGTCAGCAGGTGGTCCCCAGGATGAACTTGAATGTGTGTGAGTGTGAGGTGTGTGTGTGTGTGTGTGTGTGTGTGTGTGTGTGTGTGTGTGTGTGTGTGTGTGTGTGTTGGAGGGTGTTGAGATTTCGTTTGACTTCAGAGAAAATCACATTTAACCACTGCTTGCCTTCCTGGAGTAGGGAAAGTCTACCTCACCAAGGAAGAAGGGTTCCCCTAAATTCTCCAGGAGGTGTTGGGGACCTGCAGAGTCCCCCAAGGCCGGGGCTCATTTCTGGTGACAGGAAGTGGGGAGAGGCCCTTGCTGCCCCTCCCCCCTCCCCTCTCCGTTTGCTCACTCACCTGCAGTCAGAACAGTGAGGTGGCACTGCCTCAGGGGACAACCCTTGAATTTAGAAAGCAGTCTCCCTCCCATGACCTCCTCCTTCAAGGGACAAGGACTCAAGTCCCATTGCAGATTTGCAATGAAAAGGCTATGATGGGGATCTGTGGCCTCACCTCCTGGTGGCAACTGATGGCAGGTGTCTCCCTAGAAAGCTCAGGAATTTCCTCTTCTCCAGCCCAGCTGCCTGTCCGTCCTGTTTTGTCTGTCCTGTCCTGTCTGTCCGGACATCAGCTGAGAATTCCATGAGCATTTGCACTGAGAATCCCCAAGCCAGGTTGCTCCCAGACCCCTGTCCAGTCATTTCCTCGGCATCACACAGACACATGCTGTGTTTGGAGCTCACAGTGTCCCTCAACATATGGCTTCATAAACACGCACACATATATACTACCATGAACATATGGGCACAGGTCCCTCAAGCCTACACAGACACTGCTATGCTGCACACAGACAGACTCAAAAACCATATTACACCCATGGGGTGCATCTGTGAGACCCCAGCCAAGTCCCTCGTATGTGTACATGGTGCAAAAAGCCGTCAGCTCTCTCTCACACATACACATAAACTTGCACATACAGGAATGCAGTCTGACTCCAGGCATATATGACCAATGAGGAACTACCTCTCTTCACCCAGCCCATCAGGTGCCCTTCAGGGCCACACATGCCCTGCAACTTGGCCCGGGGACTTGGAGTAGCATGCTTCACCTCCACAGCACTTAACTTTTGCTCAAATTCCAACACATGTCCTGTTTGGGGCAGCAGGAAAGGTGTGCTCAGAACGGTATGCTCCTTTCATTTGCATGGCCCCTTACTGTGGCACCACGTCACCCACGTGACACCCACAGAAGTCCCATAGGCTAGTTAAGTCAGGCCTGCTACCACCATGGAGAGAAACTGAGGCTTGTCCCTGATGAGGAACTTGTCTAAAGTTGTCCCATCAGAACTTGGGGTTAGAACTCATTATCCAGGGCTGTCTTGTAGTCTCTAGGGTCATTCATGTTGGCAGCTGAGGGCACTAGGACTCTAGGCTGAAAAGGTCTGGCCTGACTTTCACCCAATTCAAAGCCACAGCTCTCCACCAGATGTTTTGGGCTAGATGATAATGGACATAGGAGCTGGTTCCTGCCTCTTTTCTGTCCTCTGGGGAAGGAGAGGAAAGACGGAAGTTGGGGTTTCCAGAAGATAACTAGTCTAGTGTGACTCAACAAACAAAGTGGGGGTGTTTGCTGAGGAGAGCTTGGTGCTGCCCCAAGGGTCTTTGCCTGTCTCTCAGGAATGTCACATGGAGGTGTAACAAACTGCTCCTCATGGCTCTGCTAGTCACATGATCTGAATGCCCATAAGCAGAGCGGTAGTTGAGAGGTGACCAAAGGCCAGGATGCCACTCTCCTTTGCTCGCTCCAGTCCTCTGAAGAAGCAGCCTACAGGGGGATCTCTCTGTTTAACAGACCTAATGTGGCTAAGCTCCTCTACAGGTGCTGCCTTTGGTTGCCTCTGAGCCATGGGAATAACATGAAGTCACCAATAGGAAGTCCCACATGCTGAGCCTTTTGTAGCCTGGCTTCCTCCACCAATTCTCCCTCTCTGTTGGTCATCCTTTGGGGGATCTAGCCACACAAGCCCTCACTATTCCCCAAAAGTGCCCTCTATGGCCCTGCCTCAGGGCCTTTTCATATCCTCTGCCTAGACTATTCCTCATCCCTTTCTCTATCTGGTGATACATTGCCCGACTTTGATGTATCTCATCTCCACCAGAGCCGCTCCTGGCCCCCAGCGGGAGCCTCCTTGGAGTTTCCATAGCGCTTGAGGCTTCTTTACCTACCTTACAACCTTTGATTTCATTGTCCTTTTTTCCTGTCTGGCTTTAAATACGGATTGCTTTAGCTCTACCCTGTCCGTTCAGCTGCTGGTGACATGGAGCAGCCACTCTGTGTGGAAGGGGGTGAGGAAGGGAAATGGGAGGAAGGACTTTTCTTTGTTCAGTGTCTTAGTCACTTTCCTGTTGTTGTGAAGAGATACCATGGCCAAGGTAACCTATGGAAGAAAGAATTTACTGGGGACTTGCTTAGAGCTTCAGAGGGTGAGTCGGTGCCCTTCATGGCAGGGAGGGAGGGAGAGAGGGAGGGAGAGAGGGAGGGAGGGAGGCAGGCAGGCAGGCAGGCAGGCAGCCAACCAGGCAGGCAAGGTAGCTGAGAGCTACATTCTGATGAACACACTCACAAGACAGAGAGAGCTAACTGGGAGTGGTGTGGGCTTTTGAAACCTCGAAGCCCAACTCCTGTGACACATCGCCTCTAACAAGAACACAACCTCTTAAATCTTTACAATTCCACCAACTAGGGACCAAGAATTCAAATATATGAGCTTATGGGGGCCATTCTCGTTCCAACCACCATACTCAGTGATCAACAAAAATTGATGATTTCTAGATTGCTCTTGACCATTTAAGAAGCACACTTTCTCAAGTGAAGATTCATTCACTCACTCACTCATTCAATAACCGTTTGTGATGTATCTACCCTCAACCAAATAGCTACACCCACAATAGCCCATTTAGTCTCGATATTACTCTAAGGGGTAGGTATTATCTGCAGATAAACAACACACACACACACACACACACACACACACACACACACACACACACACACACCTCACACTGTGCAACAGAAGAACAGACATCACACGGGAGATGTTCACAAAGAAATCTGAGGAATACATGGAGAAGAACACGAGGAACAAGAAAGAGGGGAGGCAAAAGCAGCCCTCTCCTGCCTCTTGAGACTTGCAACATACAGCAAACTATGTGGGGTAGATGTGCCCAGGGGCTGCTGAAGGAGCATGCCATCAGTCACTCTGGCTGCAGGGGCTACCAGCTCTGCAGTCTCTGACAGAAGTACTGGCTACCCTGACAGCTTCATCCTACTGGATCCTTCCAGAGTTTCAGTGCTGCACATTCCTCTACTTTTCAGATGAGCTTGCCTGTGTGTACCTCATTTCCAGCTCTGACTCCTTCTCATGTCCTAGCATGAACTAAATCTTTGTGTGCTCCAAATTCATTACATTATAGTTGTAACCCCTAGCCTCGCTGCATCTGGAGACTGAATCTCAAGGAAAATAATTCAGGTTGAATGAGGGCACAAGGGTAAAACTCTGGTTCTCTCTCTCTCTCTCTCTCTCTCTCTCTCTCTCTCTCTCTCTCTCTTTCTCTCTCTCCCTTCCAATGTCCCTCCCTCTGTCTCTCTCACACACACTCTCTCTCTCTCAGAAAAAAATACCATATCCACTCCATGTCTCCTGCATGCACAAAGACAGGTGTACATACTGAGATCCAGTGGCCATTTCCGATCAAAGATGGAGACCCCACCAGACTTTAGGTCTTGATTGTGGACTCCCTGCAAGAGACAGGCCCCTAATGCCTGAGTCACACTGAGCATGTCCAGACTACACTCTCAGCATGCTCTGGAAACAAGGCTTGCCTTCAGACATGAGCTTCCAAATAGTACTCCATTAGGGTTAGGGCATTCCTTTGAGGCTGTTCAGGGGAAAGGGTGGGCTGGTCAGAGGTCTGTGTAGCTGCTTGTCTGAGCGTACTTAACATCAAGCCCCTTCTTCTCTCCTCCTCTGGCCACTCTCCTGCTCTCTTCCCTTTCTCATTTCATTCCTCTGTTGTCCACCTCGCCTTTCTTCATCCCCCTCTCCTTTCCTTCCGACTCATTCTTCCCTCAGCCTCATCTTCCCACCCATCCGGTCAATGGCACTTCCTCCCACCACCATCAGAAGTGACGAGGTGTCTGGAGTGTGGCAGCTGGTAGTGCTGGGTTTGGACGCACCCCTCCCATTGCTGTGTGGCACTGGGCATGATGAGTACTTTCTCTGAGGTTGGTGAGATGCTTCTCACAAGGCCCTCTGTAGGTGCCTAACACAGAGATGAGCCTGTGATCGAGGGCACCTGCTGCTCCTGCCTCTGTGGGCCAGGCATGGCGCTGCATTAATGGATGCAGAACTGAGGAAGCCTCAGCCTTCCCCGTGGCTTCCGTCTGTGGCTCTTCATCTGTCGGGTAGGAAATCTATTCTTGGGGTCCCCATCTGGTATTAAAAGACTGAGATTAGTGAAGGCAGAGAATGAGGTTGGCACCTGATCATGTGCAGTTCGGGGCTGTGCTCACTGCTGCCTTGTGCCACTTCCCAAATGTTCTGCATGCATAAGTCGGGCCTCCTCAAATAGACTGGGAGTCTTAGAAAGCAAAGGCCGAAGCTCCTGCTTTGCCTACAGCCCCACCCCACCCATGAAGTTAAACCTGGTCCAGAGCCTCTTCAGGTCC